GGGAGCTCAAGGGCGAAAGCCTTCTTCCCTTAATAAAGTGACTTAAGTGACTAACACATTAAAGTAATCTTGAAATTAAACTACTACAAACTACGATGGTATAAACCTGGTAAAAATTGATAAACAATGATATAAAGGGTAACAATACGACTCACTGGATCCGAACGCCTTTCTCCAGCAGTAGCCAGAAAGTTGACTTGCAACGAAGAAGAATTGATTAAAGTTGCTGGCCAAGTTCAGCCGGTCTAGCGATGGTTGTCCCCAGAATTGGTAATGTGCCTGAAGCGGAAGGTCTTTTTAGGAACTTTTTCGAGTACACAGTTCAGATTGCTTTGCAGTCACGCCAACGTGCGAAGTCGCTTAGCCACGTGGATCCAACATGCGAACCAAGTTGTGGAAAAGTGGTTTACTCAAATGAAACAAAAATAGTGCAGATAAACAAAGACAGATAGACAGCTTAAAGGGAAAGGTACAAGGACCTACATAGCTCCCCCACCAGAGCGTTGGTGGGACAAAACAAACGCTTGACAAAAACGCAACAAAAGGTTACACTACAAAGTTGGCAGAAAAACGAATATTTTTCCCAGAACGAGCAGAAGGGGTGGTGGTACAGAAGGGTGTGTGGGAGAGATAGAGTGCATATGAGGGGGTGAGAGTGACGTGTGACTGGAAGAGGGGGACGGAGCGGACGTCGAAGGTGCAGGGGACATTGACGGTCTAACTGACGGGGAGTTGCATTCAAAGTAAGCTGGCTTTAATCGGTCGAGCGAAACAGTGTCAGTGTTGTCAGCCTTTTTAATGACGTAATAATTGTCCATTGGACGCATTTGGACGCAGTTGTGCCATTCGTTGCTTCAGCTGTTGCATGAACATGGACGAAGTGTCAGTGTTGGAAGAGGATGACTGCGGTAATTCACCAGGTAGGCGAAGAAGGGTGCAGTAAAAAAACTCGGCCGTAGTGCATTGAATGTCCTTTTTGACAGCTGAACAAATACCCAAGAGTACAATTGGCAGGTTGCCGCTCCATGAAGTTGGATCTGAACAAGACAACAACGCGTACTTAAGTTGATAATGTAGATGCTCCAAGAGGCCGTTGGATGCAGGGTGATGCACGATGGTAGTGATGTGCGCGCACCCGAACCATTTAGTGAACTGACGGAAGAGGTAAGATTGAAATTGGCTTCCGCGATCAGTTGTCATAGTAGCTAAAACACCGAATTTGGAAATCCAGTGCGCAAGGAAAACCACGGCAACGTTGTCCGCCGTGGTATCCGAGATGGGAACGGCGATGGGCTATCGTGTGAAACGATCCACAGCGGTCAAAGTATGAATATAGCCGCGTGACGGAGGTAATGGTCTGACGAGGTCCAGGGGATATGGTAGAAACGAACTTCGGGTACCGCAAATGTGCTTTGAGGAGAAATAGTATGACGCTAGACTTTGTTATTTTAGT